TCTCATCTTTTTAAGTGGGAGAACTTGCACAATTGGTGGCTGACTAAATACCTTTTTGCCCCACTGTATATCAGGTGATATATATTTGATTTATCAGATGATGTAATTTCATTAATTTTAAGATAAAAGTCAACTGGGTTAGATGATGCACACTACTGTGCCTGGAACTGTTGATTTAAAAGACAGCTGTCCTGAGGCAGCCAAGTTACCACTGATGGACTTACCACCAAAGGAATGACTCCAAAAAGATTGTCTCTTTCAGAGGCCTTGGGGAGTGAGGACACTCCACTATGATTTATTTCAGGCACATGTGAATATCGGGACGGACATTATTTTTGATAAAAGTAGAATCCGTACTATTAATTTTATATCGGTCTGATACAAAAAGATCTGTTAGGGCAGTGAAGAGTGGGAGGCAACCTGAAAGTAAACATTGGCAGGGAGATAATGGCGGTGTTGCAAAGAAAAGAAGACAGGCTGATAGTGGGTATCTCTTCCTTTCTGGGTATAGCCTACAAAAATAATCAAGGTTACAATGGTAGTGGTTCTTCCATTCTAGAAGACCACTTTTTCAGTGCCAGATCAGTTACTAGTAAGGCATCTGTTATCTGGAATTTACTCCTGGATGAAAGCCTTGACTTAACATGTATCATAGAGATCTGACTGAGAGAAGATGAAGAGTCATATCTCCCATTTCTGTCAGCCAGGCTGCTCCATGGTACAGCAGGTTAGGATTGGAGGACAGAGAAGTAGAGTGGCTTTGGTCTATAGGAGTTCTATCTTACTGATCAGATGCAGCAGCCTGTCTAACAGTCTACCAATTTTGAGTATATGATGATGTGTTTTAGTTGTCAGAGGAGAGAAAGAACATTGTTAATGTATTGTCTGCCCATTGTATAAGGTTCTCTCTTCCTAAACTCAGCTTCTTCCTAATCTTTTTGTCCTGAGATATTTCAGTGTTCCCACTGGAATTGCACACTCTGGAGGGATTCAGGATTTCATGTCCTTCATTATGGTCATTAGCCTGTCCCAGGCTACACATATGATGAAGTGCACACTGGGTTTGGCTTTCTTTTTTCTTGAAACCAGTGATCTGAAGGCAGAAAAGCCTTGTATGACTGTTCTCATGTATAGATCACTCCTTTGCCTTAAATCAGGGGGTAGTGCAAACTTCT